ATATTATAATATATGGAATTTATATATATGTATAAAGAAGTCTGTAGCGTTATCAGAATGTGTCGTGTATTTTCAAGAGGCAGATATAAAGACAATTTGATACAAATGTCAATGCATGACAATAATAAAAAAATTACTACTTAGAAAAATTAAAATAATAAAATAATAAAAAGATACAGTAATAAAAAAATTACTACTTAGAAAAATTTAAATTTCGGATTATTATATTCGCGAATTCTTTTTGTATAGATTGATTGATTGATTTTAGATTTGAAGATATTATTATTAACATAAATTATCTTAATATTGCTAGTCAATTAATCAAAGGATCGTTGGAAATAATATAATCGACCAAAACTAGTCAGAAATTTTTTGTTTATTGATTATAATTAATAAATAAAAGATTTCTGGCTAGTTTTGGTCGATTATATTATTTCCAACGATCTTTATATTATTATTAATTTGAATAATTCTTTAGGACATGTTTAAATAATTTTAAATATGTAGATATTAAAAAAATTAATAATTTATAAATTTTGTTTTGTTTATAATAAAGATGCGAAAGAATCCAGGAATGTGCAGTGACAGTACAGTGAATATGTGTTGATTGTTATGGAGATATCTGGAATTTCCTTCATCTTTCTGGACCAAAAGGATAGCACTGATTCCTGAAATTATCATATTGAACCGATTGAACGGACGTCATCCTAGAAAGAAGTTCGTGCATTTTGATTTAATGGAAAGTTCTAGAATTAAAGGTAAGAGATTTATCTTAAATATTTTATATTTGAGATAGATACTAAGCTATATAATTTTTAGTACAATTTTTACAATTTTTGCAACATTTTTATGTCAATCAAAAAATGTATAAAAATTTCTAAAATTGAACGATTAATATATATATGCGAAAAAGTTAAAAAAAGTATGCGGAAGATACTTTTTTCTCGAAAAAGAGAAAGAACGGATGTGCGTGTACAGCCCTGTCGATTCCACGAAGACGCTAGTCGTTTTATCGTTGCAAAAATTGTCGAGAAGACTGGTTTCTTGTCGCCAATGCACGCACATACAATGTATACGTGCGATATATGTGATCACGTCTCGAAGAAATCCATAAAAGAGAAACAGTGAACAAGAAGTAAACTATATATAAATACCACATCGTACATGTTATCTTTTCTTTATTCTTTGCAGAAACTTCTCATTATAATTTTTTCTTATTTTTCGATTCAATTTTCTTTATTTCTTTTACGTATTTTTCCTATTATTTATAGTAAAAACCTTTTGCAATTTAATAAAACAATTATATGTGTATTTAAATATAACATTTTATAATAATAATCTTTCTAATATCTATCTAATTTATTAAATTGTTTCAATTTTTTGGAATATGGTCTTTAATTAGAATTAATTTTCTAACTATCTAATATAACTTGCGTGATCTACTATAAACTGTTTTTAATTAAATTTATAAAATATTATACTTTTTTTTGAATCTACATATCTGTTATGTCAAAATATATCAAAGTATTTTATTTTTATAAATTTTTTTATAATTTTTTGTATATAATTTATTTATTATGATTTGAAAACTATTACACTGATCTTTTTTCTGGAAAAAAATTATTACACTTTGAAACAGCATTTATCAATTCTGCAAAGTTTTTTCTCCTTAGAAAATGATTCGTTGTAAAATAATTATAATCTCTCAAAGAAAACATGCAGATTTATTACATTGTATTTCTGTGCAGCATAATCGAAACCTAAATCAAATATGTTTCTAATAAATTTTTTTCTCTCTACCATTATGTATATTATTTATCAGGGCTTTTTTTATTTTTCTTATTTAAATCTATCGAGTTTTCTGTATCTACGTTAAAGTAACTAAATGAACTATTTCATACATAAATCTTCCATCATTTAAATGATTGATTAATTAACTTCGTTCAGAATTTCACGTCGATGTGCAATGAAACAATATATCGCGAACATCTATTCTTCATAAAAATAACATCTAATTTGTTAAGAAAGTATGAGTGAATCAAATGTCACGCTCTTTTAAGATTTTAGTGATTTTATCGTAGCAATGCACAAAGATATTTTAATTAAAACAGTTTTCTCTCTGATTTTTAATAAAGCACCACATACGTTTCTAGAGTTAATAACAATCTTCATAAAAATACAGATGGTTTCATCGTGCGTTTACCGTTCACTTCTTTTCCTCCCTTTTCGAATCGTTATTCTCCTTGAAGCAACGGTTCCCAAGCGGGATCCGGAAGGCACAACCAGTATTTTTCTCTTTTTTTCTCGGTCTCAGTTTTTTCCGCACGTTTATAAGAGAACCAAATGTGTGAATTTCGTAATAAATCCTACATGTAAAGATAACAGATTAAATAATTTGCTATAGATCGAAATATCTTGTATTAAATAATTTCTATAACTTAAATAATTTGCTTAAATATATCGAAATATTTTGCATCTTATATATAACACACAAATATTCGAATAAAACATATTACTTTTTTCAATTGTTTTTCATAGAGTATATCATATTTGTAATATATATCATGTTATTTCATGGAATAATTAAAATCAATAAAGAGTTTTTAAAAAGGTACAATAATTTTAACTAATATTTGTTCAAAATATTTTATATGTAATTTAAAAGATTATTTAACATTAATTGTAACTATTATTACTGCAACTAAATTTTTATTCTACCTTTTTTTGCTTTTTTATATATTAACCTTTTTATTTATTTGATTTAAAATAAAAAATCTAAAGATCTAAAATATGTGTGATATTTTAAAGTTTTATACTATTGAAATAAATATTTAGCACGCGTTGTTTGATCGCTATAAACTTTGAAATACAAAAAAATATAACCACAGATCCGGCATCATAATTTTTCATTGATAAATAGCAGGTGAAATAAAAGGAAAAAAGGTGTTAAACAATTTTATTATCTTTTTTCTTTCCGTTTATTATAAATAACAAGATGCATATTCGGTGCGCATGTGTCATTTAACTCTTGTATAATATATTTATATATATTTATACGTTAATCAAGCTCCAGAGCTAATTTTACTTCGCTTACTGTATTATGTCTTATTTATGCTGAGTGAAATTAATACACCTCACTACAATCTGTCTGCCGTGTGGAAAATTAGAAATTTCATTCGAGGATGAACTTTGCGCGTCATGCGACGAAGAAAAACCGTGTTATCTTCGCGCGAGGTAGAAGTGGATGTTAAGAATCTATCTGCCTTCTTGATCATGCTAAATAATTTTTATAAGCCCTTCGAGACCAGCGGTATTTTACCGCATCTTCATCCGATTGATACTCTTTGACATTGATGCGCCAATTAAAATGTAGATACAAATCCGAATAGGTTTTTTCGTCATTGAAAAATTGTTTAAAAATTTACCGTATTGATATGCGCGTGTCTCACGAGTAACTTTGACGAATACGAGGATTAAAATCGTAAATCACGATCGATCAGTTGACGAACAATTTGATGATATCGCTTATTGTGGACTCGGCCGATATGTCTAATTAAATTCAACAATAAACAGTCGATGTACAGAGATTCAACAAATTCGTTGTCTTGAGCGCCGAGATAATTCGAGCCCCGTAGGGAAATTTCTCTATCTGGAAACGAAGGGATTAACGGCGGAGTGTCCTTAAAAGCTACATTATATATCCATATTTAGCGTCCGCATTAGCAACGTTTAATGCGTGCGTTCCCTCAATTATCTTGTATCGAGCTCCGCAATTCTAATGCTATGCTCTCGACTATCATTGTTTCAATTTGCAATCTAAATAATGCGATGTGTGTGTAGATAATATCTATTATATATTTTTATAAATTCTCTTTTATATGAAATGATTAAATCTTCCGCCCCTCGAGATATTCACTATTTTAACTTCCCTCGTCGTTCTCGCGCATTTTTTTTTATCATATTATATATATATATATATATATATATATATATATATATTAGTAATATATATATATATATATATATATATATATATATAATATATATATATATTACTTGCCGCGAAATGAGAAAAAGAATTTGTAACTCATTGCGTTTCGATATGCACGTTATACGTCAACGATATTTATACATGTTTCAAATTGGCGAATTTCCAAACATTTTCATAGAAAATTTCACGTGAGATTTTCACACAATGTTGTATAAAAACAGATTTAATTTAACCTTATTTTACCAGATTTATCTTATTATCAAATTTCTTGTTGTTTATTCTTCTTTCTCGATTTAAAATATATTTGATAGTTTGTTTATTATTCTTAATTAAATCAATTATTACAAAGAGTCGAATTAAAGAAAGATATGACGATATCGATTATCGCATCGCAAACAGGATGTTTTGAGAAAAGACGCGCGAAAAATGAAGAATTTTGGGGGATGCGCTAGAATCATATATATAGAAAATTAAAAACGATCAAATTTTCCAAAGTACATCTTATAGCAGGCACGTCTTATTATATCACGCTACAGGCTCAAGCAAGCTTGATAAAAATACCGAGCTTGACGCTTCCTTAATTCTTCTTATAACTAATTACGTATTCCCCTCTCTTTTTACACCATTTTTAAACATATGCATTTGTACATATGCGTCTTTCTCATTCGAGCAGTCTCTTCTTTAATTAATTAAAGAAATAATACAAACTTGCCTAAACGTAAGTAAATTAATAATATCTTATATCCGGTTTGAGAAAATAGGAGTTATAAATTATCGAATATATATTTTCTATTAATATCCATGATAGAAACACTGAATCTTAAATATATATATATATATATATATATATATATATATATATATATATAACATAGCTGTTATATTTTGAAGAGATTGTTAAAAATCGACTTTTTAATTTAGACTTTATCGATTTCTCTATATTAAACTCAGAACATATAAGCAATTTCATCGAGAATATCTGACCCGTCTGGTAATACCAATCCCATAATCGATTCTGAACGCACATTTTATTATCCATTTGATCTTTCTTATTTCAAAGTCTCAAATAATCATAATTTAACTTATCTGTATAAAATAGTGAAAAAAAATATCGCAATTATAAATGCTCAGGATTGGTTGATTCTTTATCATCGTGTTGCGTAAAAGCGTATATAAGCTGCTTAGGTAGTTTTCTCAAAATGTAAGAAAAACTTAGTTTTATGTTACTTTTACATATTATCAGCAAATAAGACTATTTTTCGCTTTAGCTTTTGATGGAGTATTTGTGTTTTTATTGAGAGTATTTGTATTTTTATTTATTTAATCCGCAATATATTGCGAGTATTCCTTAAATTATAAACTGCGCGGCAGGTATAGACGGAATTTATTTCGACGTTGTTTCATTAACAAGCTATCTTAACTCGTTAAAAGTTGCTCTTCATTTGCGCTTCATACGATTTTCTCTTGTAATAAACACGAAAAACGCGCATTTCTTTATGTCTTGCTGTCATACATATTCGATATCTTGTAACTTTATTTAATACGTTTTCGATATTTACTCAGAATTTCCGTAATGAATCGTTTTCTTCAAAATTAATATTTACATGGGAATTCTTTTCGCATCTTACGTTAAGAAAAATCTCATCTTCTTATGCTTCTAATAATCCTTTTGTCATTGTATTCAGTTACGTATTTAGTTTACGTTTATGGAAACTTGTAACGACTCCGTTTGTGTTAACGTATACTCATGTATATAGAAATATATCTCGAAATGTTAAACAATTTTTAAAATTTGCGCAAATATTAACACATTTATAGAGAAAAAGGAGATTTTTAAAAATATCTTCTCGTCATTTAAGTAAATGTTTAAACAAACAATTAATTGTGAATCCGTTAAAACAATTGCGAAATATAATTTTTGATGATAAAAAATAAACGATGTCAAAGTTGCTTCTCCGCACCGTTCTCTTATTAAATTTCTTAAAAATAAAATTCAACGTATCGCACCTAATCGTACAATAATACTATTGTTTTCTTATTTATCCTTAATAAATCGATACTGCTAACAACATTGCATAAGTATAATATTGACAAAACATCTGAATGTCTCTTAACTATAGTAAATCCCTTCGTTAAAGCTCTTAACTTATAATTAGTCAGAATTAAACATTTATTATGAAACGCGTATCTCGTCGATCTAAAGCAAATCGCGATTAAAATAATAAAATCGTGCCGACGTAAGCTCCGAAAAAAGGAAAACAGCGATTAGTGCCGCGAAGGATCGTTGCTCTGATCGTTGACGAAACCTTTCTAAATTGTTGATATCAATCGAGTTGCATCATCTTCCAATTATATTCATCTGCGTAAGGAAAATCATGATGATGATGAAATTCGCCGATTAACATTTAACAGACGACTGCCTCCGATATTGGATTCTCCGTGATGTGTATAGTCGCAGTAGGCCAGTCGATCTTCTTGCTGCAAACGTGATTCAATCCCTCTAACGAAGCCAGTCGGTAGTCGGCCATTTTTAACGGCGACAGAGGGGCCACTGTAAAAGAAAATAAGAGAAAGATAATATCCTCGACTTCTTACTGCTATCGTTAATTTCGCCTTGAAGAGGTTGTAACGCGCATGTAATTCCGTTCGTTCGCTTAAATTTTGCCACATAGAAAATCACCGAACGAAGGATATATAAATAAAAGGAAGCGTGCATGCAAAATAAAAAGGGGAGAACCAGATGTACTATTGGTAGACTGTTGTGTGCGCATAGCGAGACGTTGTGAATTAGCATGAACTGTTCACTATTCTATTGCCCAGGTGCGAGATTGCTTCGTTTTGCTTTTTAGTTGTTTTTTATAAAAAATTAAATTTACAAAAAAAAAATGCTCTAATATGAATGTGTGCTGTTGTAATTAATGACAGTTGGTCTCTTCGTTTTTTTTTTAATTTATGTAAAGTGAATACTTTAATTTGGATCACCTGTATCACAGAGTGTTGCGCAACAGGTAGGTCCCTGTTAATATTGTAAATCTTATAGTACGTTGCTACCGACTATCGAGGACTATAAAACAGAAGAACTCAGTCGATAAGACCGATTCAGTATAAATTATTATCGCTGGGCATTGAAAATATTCGTTGTGCATTTAAACCACTTTTCGTTCGAAAAATTTTTTAAATCATTTAAAAGACTTTTATGCGAAAGTGTTTACATAAAATAAAATAAATACAGAAAATCGTATAAATGCGAAATAAAATAACACTTATATATCAATATGCACGCAAATGTTTGACAAGGCGGTTGTTATAAATTCCCCTCATTACCAACGTCGACAAGATCAGCGCAATGTTAGGAGAATTGTTAGAGTAGTCAGTTGAAATTATAGTCTTTCTCGCGCGCGGGCGCGGGAAAATCTCCAAGGTAGCCCAGGATGTGTATCATTTTCTCAGTTAGTATCTCTCATACCTTCCGAAAAAAGTTAAATTCCGACTTACTTAACATATAGACGTGGCCTAATTGACCAACTGCGCGCTCGACTCTCCTTGCGGCCTTCAATTCCTAATTACAATTACCTTCGGGTGTTGTCGGCTTCACGGGCTTCCGCGGGGATCTCACCACTAAAACGTATAAAGAAAATGATTTTCCTTTAATAATGATGAACGTTTGCAACATTGTTACATAGCGCACTGAATTGCTACTTTTTTAAAGCGTTTCTCGTGCGCAACATTAATAGACCAATTGTTTTTTCTTTTAATTACGAGTGGAGTATAGCAAAGAATAATAGTGCAACAATTTTACTTAAAATATTGCTGCAAAACTATGTTTTTAAATATGCAATAATTATGCTAATTTAAAATGTTTGTCTCTTGACTCAGATTTATATATTAATACCGAATAAAATTGATAATTATAACTTTCGCGATTTGCAAATAATGCAGCTAATATATTAATTAATTTTCTTACTTTAATCAATTTTTGCAAGCATTAAACAGCCTAACTTTTATATTTTTATTATCCTGTAAATTATCTCTAATTTTATATAATTTTTTTATTAAAAATATTTCCTAAAATAAATCTGAGTCGTTTTTAGTTAATCAAACGAGAAATATTTGTTATTGTAACAATGCGACATATTATTCTATATTGCATTAAAAATTTTAGCATTTGAAATTGTCTAAAAAAAATAAAAAAAAAAAGAAATAACGAATAAGCCGAAACTAATCACACTACTGTTCAGCTGAGAGAAATTGTTGTAATATATACATACCACTCGATCGATCCGAGACGCGTGGGAAATAAAGGCGCAAGTCGATGAACATGTATAATACTTTTTCTTTCTTATTTTGCCTTATTTCTTTTTTCTAACAGTTTAAGAGTATGTTAGCGAAATTCATAGACGAATTTAGTGCAACCTTTTTTTTATTTTTTATTTATCAAGTCGAGCCAGTGGCTTTTCAACGAATAGAGGTACATGTTCGAACACGTATTTGAACCTCGGTGTAATCAGGTAGCTTCTACTATTCGTTTTTTTTTAGCACAGAGATAAAGCAGTTTATTTATAAGTTTACAGATTAGCATTTTGACAAATGAGAACACACATTTATTGAGACCCTGTTTTACACCACAATTCAATTACGTAAATATAACGCCACTTGTACAACATGGAAATTCTACTTATAATAGCGATGATTTTTGCAATAACAATAGTTAACAATGATGACGATGATAGAAACAACAGATTTATTCAACGCGACAACTTGAATGCCATTCATATAATTATTCGCTATATAAATTACTGTAACTTTGTACTGATTACAGTTAACGAAAATTAAAAGCAAAGATATGATATAGAATTAATTGCACAAAATTGTACAACCAGATCTTAAAATACATATTTTATCTGTATCGAGTTGTGAGAAAGCATAGTGTTCTGTGATGTCTATAGTGTTCTTGTGATTAAAAAGCTAAACAAAATGACAGACCTGATTTAATTGATGGAAAGAATTTTCAACCATTTATTTAAGTATTAAATTACGCGTAAATTTACGATTTTAATATTTATATAAATATACAAGCGCAATATATATTGTGTACGTATTCTATAATAGAAATGTACACTCTATAATTTAACACATGTGTGCAATATAATTATAAAAAAACTTTGAAATCTTAAAATTCTAAAACGTTAACTTGTAACAACAACTATTTTATAAACTCTCGATTTAATATGTTTACTCAGAACAAAAAACATTCATTTAGCTATTATGCATAAATTAATTTTTTAAATATTTTTAAAGCTTAAATTATTCAATTAAGCAATTTAATTAAAATAAAACCAGATTATAATTTACAATATATGATTAATCAAGGAAGAAAACATCTCTGGCGTTTAGATTATTCATACAGTTATTGAAAGAAAGTTTAGTTGGCCCAAGAATACCTATCTAAAGAATATTTTAATATATAAAGTATTTGCAATAGGCCAATTTCTTTTCATGGATAGTGATAGAATGCAGCAGTCGATAAGAGTGAAGTTAATGTTCGAATTGATCGCACAATCAAAATTTCTCACTTTTCCATTTCGACATTTAATCGTGCGAAAAATGACGTGACCACTTGCAAAGTCTTGGAAGTTTACCCTTTTTTTCGAGCATAATTATTTACAGTCATTTGTGAACAAATTGGCCGCGGTTTTTTTTTTGTTTTTTCCATATTACGTCTACATCATCACAATTACGAAAAAATATACTTTCTATAGTCATTTCTACCGAAACATCTTGCGTCACTTACTGACACAAATACTTTAGCTGATTGGCAGTAATTACCGACGCGTTTCGCACTTCCGCTTGCAAGCGATCACGAGATATTTTCTTATGAAACTCGACGACGCGTGCGCGAACTGTTTATATCAAGAAAGATCAATGAAAATTGTCGATTGCTAGTTTGGTGATTAATCTCGAAAATGTAGTTTCGCGCGAAAACGCTCACTTACCATATCCTTCGCCCTGAAGAAACAGTCGGAATGCCTCGCTGACTTTACCCGGCTGTTCTTCCAGTACCATACCGCAATCCGATATCTAAAAGACAGGATATAATCCATCACTTGTTATTCGCAGGGAAGATTAAAGATTAATCTTGTGTGTTGCGCAAGCCTTTTTTGCTATTAAATCTTACAATTCATCATTATACGTTCGTAGTCCATTATACGACATCGTGAAATTCACTCAAATTTAATTAAAAGTCATCTATCAATCGTTAGACAGTAATTACACAATTGTTTGTGCTCCCCTCGTATACTAAATATTCACAAATTTTGTACCAAATTATTTAATCCATAAAATACACATATCTCCTCTCTCGTGCGTTTAATGAAACACTGTTACTAATGAAGAAGCTTACCTTCATCCAGGAGCTGTTTGTTGGATCCAAACGTCCATTTAACGTTACGGTGTCGTCGACGTGAGGGCTTAGAGCACCCGTGATGTTCATCACCGGTACACTAAGCGTCAATCCTTCCTTCTTGCGCGTTGGATCTAATTCCCTCGTTATATTCAGATCCGTACGACGAACATAACTGTCGATAAATAATGCGAGATTCGTTGGATTCACGCGACGCTCAAAGTAGCTCTTGTATACTTGAACCAAATCATGATTCCGCTCCTCGGTCCCCTGCAAAATTATACCGGTTTCAATATATACCATGTATTACAGATTATTTAATATGACTAAAAATTTGATTTTTATTATTATAATTTATTTATATTATTATAATTTATATTATAATTTATTTATGTATATTTATAGGTGACATAAAAAATATAAACTGGATTTATGAGATATCCTTAAATTTATATCTCTTGTTATTTTTCTAAAACATATTACAACTAAAAAAATAATTGATAAAGAGATAAATTTCCTTCAAAACTTCTTTGCTCTTAAGTAGCACAAACGAATTATTACGAATAATCATTTATTTAATTAATAAGAACATTTTTTTATACAATAAATACCAATTTATTTTTCAAAGAAGGCATTTCTCTTCGTATATTTTGATTTTATTGGCGTTTGAATTTTTTACCGAGCCTATATTTTGCATAGACGATTAATTGCTTGTACGTCGGGCAGTAAAAATTTGAGATATTTTTTTCTCGTTAAAAAATAAACCGCATCGATACAACACATGATGGTGCAAATTCGTCGATAATATGAAACCATCGTTACATTCGATTCACTAATGACATAAATGATAATTTTTTTATTTCATCAATTTTACGATTGCACGTGAAATCTATAATCGAAATTTTTACTTTCCATATTACATCTGCCGAGCGAATGATTTCAAAGGTCTCAATGGACCGATGAGCGCCTTATGCTCTCACAATCCGGTTTCTTCGCGAAGCAGAGTAGTATGGCAAAAAGAACCGACAAAACCTATCATTAGTATCGGATGGGAGGGAAAGCAATGGAACAAAATGGTAGGGCAAAGCCAGGAAGGAGCGCGACATCCAGCCAACTTTGTTCAAAAGTTTATATTTCCTTCGACTAATGTCAGCCAAGTTTCATAATTCAACTCGCTACAGATAATTCATTAATTTCCAAAACTTTAATATATTACATTGGAGGTCGTTTTTTACTTTTCTTGCAACAAAAAATACTTATCATGAAATAATTGACAAAATATGATCAATTATTATTTAAATTATATAAAAAATGTATTTCTTTTTTACAAATTAATTAATATTATCATCAAACTTGTAATATCAAAATTTGCATATTTCGTATCCATTCAATTATTATCTCTTTCTATACTTATTTATCTAAAAATTTAAACATAATTAAAAAACAATTTAATTTGTTGCATATGCAGAAAACATATTTCTTGTAAAAAAATCAATCTTTTTATTATTTTTATATTTGTTTCTTCAAAGGTTAGAGGTCGTGTTTGAACGTAGTAATTTTCTCAGGTTGTATAATAGCGACAGCAAAACTGTCAGTTTAATCTCTAGTTTCCATGGAGATCAAGCCTTTGGAAGCTTAAGCTTCGTCGTCGATAATTCATCTTGCGCTCGCGCTTGAACGCTAACTGGGTTGACATTATTTTGCGCCTCATAAGAGCCTGACGGTTTATTAGTTTCATAGAGTATAGTCTTGCCCAGAACACAATTAGTTTTCATAAAAGAAGTTGAAAGAGAAATTTATACGAAAATATTTATGTTAGAAAGATATTTATGTTATCTGCGTAAGCAAATACTAAAATTGGATTTATATATACATATATATATATATAAATCCAATTTTAGTATTTGCCTATGCAGATGACATAAATATTTAATACACAGCAAAATAAATATGAAAATTATCCAATTTTCTTAATTATATATATATATATATATATATATATATATGTAAATATTTAATGCACAGCAAAATAAATATGAAAATTAATCAATTTTTTAAATTATATATATATATATATATATATATATAATTTTAAAAATTGGATAATTTTCATATTTATTTTGCTGTGTATTAAATATTTACAAATATTACGATTATGAATTTAAATATAACTCATTATTGACACCATGTTGCTGTTTAAATTTTCTTGTAATAAACTAATTTGTTAAAAAAATTATTTGCTTTGATAGAAAAAATTAATATTAATTATATTAAATTATCTTAATATTATAAAATTCTAATTTTAATCAATCTTTTATGATGGTATTTTTATAGTTGGGGTACATTGATTATTACTATGTATAAATCATAATCCAGAATTGCAAATTTAAGCTTATAATATTAATATTCTTACCCTGCCGAAATGATGCCACATCAGATAATCGAGAACCCCTTGCGTCATGCCTTGCGATCTCAGATGGCGTACGTTCAATTTTTGATAACCCCATTCGATCCATCCTGCCTGCGTGGATACACAGTTTATCAGGCACAGTGCATTTACTTTCTCCGGATGGGCGAGTGCAAATCTTGCCAGAATATTGGCGCCGGCACCGACCCCGAAACCAATTACGGATTTTATGCCAAAATGGCCGAAAATGAAGAGCAGCTGTTCAGCCAGTTCTTCCATGGACGGATAAGTGTAACTGAAATATATATATAAAAAGTTTTGTTGTTCAGAAAGTATTCACAATGTTTCACTTTAAATTGGCGTCTAAATAAAATATAAATAACTAAATTGCAAATTAACTTCCGCAAACAGACATCATTAAAAATATTAAGTAAATTAGAATAATACAAATCTTCACGTCGTTTAAATATACTTCTCTTATTTTCGTTAAGAATTATAAATAAACCAAGAATTAAAATTTCTAAATGTATTAATGTTTCTGGAAATGTGCAGATAATGTCAAAATACATATTTTTATTATGATATTGCCTTTATAAAAATTACTGCAATCAACATAATATTATGATAAATTACTTTAATTGGAATTTCAAACAATAAATATTAAAATAAAATTTAATATATATTTTTTTTGCTATTAATCATGGAATGTATGGATTTTATATTATTGATAATCTGTTTTTATAAATCCAGTTGATAATGTAATTTCAGCCGTATTTGTAACAACAATTAAAAATGATTTAATAATATAATATATTATTAATCAGTAATTTTCGTAAGACAAATAAATATTATACAGATTAAAAAAAGTGATATCTGAATATATCGATATTTAAAGTTGATATCTTCAGAGAGATTTGGCACGCAAACACGAAATCAATTGACAAAACCTTCGCATGCAAATCTGCATTGCGGTTTAAATTATTCTATAACTCAATGTTTAATTAAATGTATGTTTTTTTGAAATATAAGCTTTAATTAGTTAAGATTAACATAATTGATTGTATTCAAAAAAGATAATTTTTCAATCTAATAATGTTAAATTATCGACGGTTTACTTTTTTGAATTTAATCCTATAAATTTCTAATTAAATAAATTGTATAATAATGTTATGATTAAATAATTATAATTTATTCCTTTGTATTTAAACTCTAAATATATTGTGTATTTTATATATTTGTTTGTATACAAATATAACAATATACAAAGGATTAAGCATCATGATTTGTAGAGTTCATTTACGTGTATCTCAATTTTATTGCTTATATCTTGGTTTTATCAAAAATATATATTAAAAGGAAGAATTACATAACAATTGATAAGTTTGAACTCGTATAAATGCACAGTTCGACGATAAAGCATTTATATGATGAAAAAATATGTAAAATAATAAAACTATTCCTTTTATCAAATTACAATTACATTTTTATCAAATTACAATTATATTTTTTGCGAATTAATAATAAACAAGCTGTCATGGATTCGACTGATTACGAGATTAGTTGAGATACTAATTAGGTCAATGATTCTTGTTAATTGAATTGACGTGTTGTGCGAGACATGCGCACATGTATCTCGAAGCTTAATTAGAGGCATATAATCTGCATGAAATCTCTTTAATAATTAACGTATTCTCTAACGTATTCTTTAATAAAGCAAAAAAGAATTGCTTTAATTGTTACTAGATGAAAAACTAAGAATCTTTTTGACTATTGATAGGAGCTAAGTGTATAAATATATTGTGAATTGTAAGAATTGTGCTTTGCTTTGAGAAATCAGCAAAATATATAATTTTTCTCGTGTCTATTATTTAAAAAATCAACTTACTCTTCGGGGAGTGTCGGCGCGCCTTCCTCTTGTCCGGGTGCGTTTACGTGATACACGCAAAAGTTTTCGAGTAAAACACGCATGTCGATGTAATTGAAGAATGCCTGGAAGCTCGAAATGTCTGAAAGAATAATTTTCGTATTAAAAACATATTAAATATTAATGTATTATGCACATACACTTTAAGAGAGTATCTTAATAATAATAATTAATTTAAATAAATTTATAACAAGAATTAAATTATTAATTATTATAACTAGAATTTAAATATTGCATAGTTACATTATTTTAAACATTTTAATTATAAATTGCTCACAGTTAAGGCCTAGATCGTGATAAGTGAGGATAGCTGGTTTCGCTCGATTTCCTTGCACTGCCACCAACAAACTTCCCTTATCGGTCTCCACCCTTTCTTCTCGTACAGAGCCATCATCTCTAGAGAGGTATCTCAATGGCGGAAATTGCAACTGAATGTTCTTCAGCTCAATGTCATCCATGCTATCGGAAGGCATCGTGCTGCGCATAAAAAGAAATAATTTAATTACTGGCGTCGTGACAAACAGATGAAAAACAATCCGATATTCTTGACATGAATGCCAATTGATGATGACTGCGGCAATCTCGAGGAAATTTAAATGCTGGTAAAGTTTTTTTTTTTACGTTACATAAACTTTTTTTCCATATTACATAAAGCTAAAACTATTTAAATTTAAATTACAAAATACCTCATCTTTTCCTTTATTTTCATGTTGAATATCCTTGTCTGTTGAAAAACTAAATAATTCAGGCTCTATATTTAATAGATAAAATTATATTAATACATAAAATGCATATCTTACTTACAAAAACACCAGTATTTTTAGGTTCTTCATTAAGCAGTTTTATATCAAACAATTCATATGTTTTTAAATAATATTTTCTAAGTAACGCATAACATTCTTTTTTTGTTACATTATGATCGCATAATATATTATAATTTAAATACAATTATAAATCAGCATGAAAGCATTGTTACTCGTGTCGAAAATGTATTTTTCTACCTACAGCTTTATTTACGAGAAGTTCATTAGTGCACAATGTGCAGTAACATAATTACTGTTATAAATAAGTGTAATAATTTTTCCACACTTATTTTAAAAACTTTACAAATATATGTAGATAATAGAAAATAATATTTTTAAAAAATAAATAGACATTTAAACTTTTCTCCTAAATAATAATTTCATCGAACTTTAATGCTCATTTTACATGTTTCGAAGCTAACGTCAGTTTTAACATTTAACGTGATTTAAAAGTGACGTGATATATAATGAATAATTTGTAGCATTTATTCAAATTATTTTTAAGATTATTATTCACATAATAGATTACAACACATGGAATTATTTATTGATGAAATGAGCTTTTACTATATTTCATTCCGAAAAAAGTAATACATACAAACAAATAAATAGAGATGAAATAGTGCTTTGTTGACTTCAGACTAAGTCTTCTTGACCATCGACCGCGTCTCCAATTTCTGATGAATAAGTGTTATAGAGGTTGACTTAAGACGATACGTTATTTGTTTTCGTGCCAATAATTGCGTTGCGTTGCAAGAAGAAGTGAAGTGTTTTGCGTGTTAACTTTCTTCTCCTGGCTAAGTAATAATTATTCTATACTTGAAAAAAATATTTTGGAATCCTTTTTTACTTTTAAAATATTTATTAATAAATATTTTTATATTTAAAATATTTTAATTACTTTTTAAATTATTTAAATTATATTTATTATATTTTAATTATTATATTTAATAATTATATTTAATGATTATTCTGTGATAAAATAATGTATAAAGTTATATAATTGTTACATATATTTTTGCGAAACACAATTTGTAATATTATTTATTTATTGAAAAAATTAAAGAAAAAATTGATTGTACAAAGTTTATGAATTTTGCACTTTGTCATGATCGTCTATTATAACTTGCCTTCTCGAGTGAGGCTGCAGTATTTTCGCAGAATATTATGCAAAATAGTTTTTTATATAATATGTAAAATGTCAATCAAGATATTAGTCGTGACTTTTTTATCGATTTGTGTGTTATATCCAGCAGTCAAAGTAAATGGTTGAATATGTTTCTCAAAATTGTTCTTACACATCAATCATTTTCACATTTTTTGATTAAATGCAGATACTTATTATGGCAATTAACTTTTCCGTGGAGTTAATTAAACTTCTGGTCCAGCAGTTCAGAAAATTACTAGAAGTGTATTTGCTCGGTTGGCAAAGCTAGTTAAAAAGTATCCTTCAAGATTTAAACGCTATTTGAAGCTATTTCACTATACGTGCAATTTATTCCTAAATTGGCAATAACTGTTATGATGAAGCTTTAAGTACAAGATTTATAACGTCTATCAGGTTATATAACAAGTTATTTTCGCGCTTGAATTTCCCAATAAATAAAAAAGATTACGATCGTTACACGTGCGATTAATTATTAAATTATTATGAAATATATGAAATAGGAAAATTTAGTCTGAGATACAATATATTTGATTAATTGCATCTTATTTTATAAATCAAAGACAACAATTTTATATATCATATAATGCATAATTTTAGTGCAACAATTCTATATAATATACTTTAATTATAATAATTCATATAGAATTTTTATTTTTATTATAATTTTTATTTTTATTATAATTTTAATGCATATTAATGATCAGAACAACTTAAATTACATCTAATGGTATGCAATAGTCAGAAATGTCAAGCAGTTACTAAATCTCCTAACTCATTAGTAGTTCTATATCAGTTTAAAGTACACGTGAGTAAGCGCATTTAGGATCAGTATAGGATAAGTAATATCCCCACGTTATTCTAAACGTATATAATAGCACTGATAACTTTAATCGTCCTCGGAGTTGCATTGATGTTTAACTAGTTATGAACTCCCTTAATGCTCGAAAGACTTGCTTCATCTTGTATCCCAGAGGATTTATGGCGCCTGCTTAATTTTAGTAAGACAGTAAAATGCAAGAATCCTAATTGACTTCTTTTTACGCACAAAAGATTCTTTGAGAGAAACGAAACCACAAAATATTGTCTGCAATCAAGGAATTACGTTTCTATTTTCTTCTGAATTCTTTAAAACTATTATCTGAAATTCTTTCGTTCCATGTAATCAGAACAAACGCGAAATATTTATCCGAAGAATAGAAGATGCGTTTGTAGATCACGAATTCTTTCTCTCTCTCCGTCTCTCTCTTCATGACGTGACAACTTGCGTGACCCGTTACTGCATTCACATTATTAAATTCCTTATCTATTAATCGCTCCCTATGAGTCAGATTGCATGCACGTATTTTCGCATAATGGCATCTGAATTAATACAGCGATTACTTATCTTTCAAATCATTACTGTGTTTTATGGTGACTCGTTATTATCATTATGCACTTTTACATTTTGACAAAATTTTCTTCAACCTAAATTTTTTTTAATTATTTTTATTTATTATGAAATTTTTATTAAAAAAATTTATGAAATATTTAATTATGAAATATTTATTTTTTATTTTTTATTTAAAAAAGAATATTAAGTTTGTAATATAATACAAAATAATAATTGTAATAAATGCCAATAAAGGACAATAAAGGAGAGCATTTATTTGTTTTTGTGAATGAGATGTGAAATGAAAGATGCCGTTTTCACAGATTTATGGCGCGTATTGTAGACGGCGTCGCGATGACTGGCGTCGACGATCGATAAACAGAAATGCGATGTCACAAATGCGCCATGAAATCAATTGGAAAACACTTCGGTATTCTTGATTGATAGAGATTTCAAGAATTGATTATCAATCAATCATTCATGGGAATAATGAACCATAATGCAGTAGTCTGAAAATTCAACCTGAACAAATCGAGCATATTTCCCGTGTCATGAAAATAGGTGACACACTTAACTTATAATATGATTTTTTTCAAATTACAAAAAGTATATAATAAATTTAAAAAATTATTATAACAATATAGTGAAATTAAACGCTTAGATAAATACGTTTTTTTTCGATATTCAAAAACACATCTACATTTTATTTATTAGTTGATCAATTTCTTAATTTATAATACATAAGCGATTGTAATTAAGATGATGATGTCATATAAAAACACATATAATTTTATTTCCATTAGAATAGATGTTTTTCGATGTCTGCATTTATTTGCATTAATCTTAACGACAAAACATAATACGAACATACTTCGATCCTAACTAAAAAATTAAAATTTATAAAAAGAAAAAGAAGAGCTTTACTTAAAAGATATTGAAAAATTAAGATAACTTGTGATAATATACACAAACATATCGGTAGCATTTATGTGGACATAATAATTTTGCAAAAATAATTATTCCGGATTCCTTCGCTATTTCGAAGTATTATATTTTTCGAATTTTGACAGAAAAAATATTGTTAATTGAAAAAGTGTTTAAATAAAGAAGAAAATATACAGTGTGAAAAAACATGAAACGTCGAAATAAAGATTATATAGTACGTAAAATAACAGATGTGAGATCTGAACGGGCAAATAGAATTATTTTTTTCAATAAATATAAATTAAAACATACATATCTTTTATTTTATTTTGTTAAGGAATTGTAGTTGTTGTATTCTGCAACTTTCACACAGATAGATTTATTTCCATTGTGAAAAATTGAATATATTCCCTATGGCATTTCTAGAAGACAAATTCATGTATCATTGAAAGTCAAAAAGTTATTTTGAAATAAAAATAAATGATATACATCGCTTTATATCGTATCCTTGGTTATTTATTGAAACATAAATACGTAAAATAAACACGCGATAATATTAAGTACAATAAATATAAATATTAGAAAGGATCCAAAGTTGGGCAAAAATTCTACCTCGATTTAGATAAATCGGCAAACTTTATCTTATCTTCATCATCATTTAAAAATTTGTAAATTTAAAACTTTGCAAAAGATAAATAGCAGATATTATCACTGGATAAAATTTTATAGTGATGTTTCTTTTTAAAATTGCAAAGAATAAGATTTTCAGTTCAAAAACAAAATATGATATTTATTTAACTATTTATTTAACTATTTTAGAGTAAAAGATCAATTATTAATTATCAATTATCCTTGTCGAGATATTTAATTGCGGAGGAAATTATAAAATCTAAAGTTTTAAAGCAAAAATTTATTTTTGTAACTATTTGTGTTTAAAATTAAAAAATTTTGATATTGTATATATTAAAGGAATTGATATTCTATTAATGTAATATAAATATAAATTTTTAAATATATTTTTTCAAATCCTCTATAAGAAAATTTTAATAACACAGAAAAATAATATTATATAATTAATCTTTTTTATATTTCGATACTCGAAAATATTAAGAACTAATTTCTTCAAATTGAAAAGAATTAAGCTCTTTATATATTTTAACAACACGATAAGAAACTAGCGATTAAGAGCCATCGTGGATGGCAGTACGTAAAT